GTCTTTGTCAAGGACTCCTGCTCTTATCGTGTTATTCAAAACCGTGTTGCTTGGATGTCCTATGCGTGCGTGCCAGATCTCTTCAGAGGCGCGGTGTCCGGGTGAACGCTGATATGCGTCGGAGTTGGAGTAAAAGCTGGCGACGAGGTTGGCGCTTCGGTGGACTTCACGTTGAGTCGGATTCAGCTGTTGCGCGGGTGTTGGTGGTGCTTCGTCGAGTGTGAGTGGTGTCGTTGTTCCTGCTGCTGCTGATGTTGTTGCTGCTGCCGATGTTGTCGCTGCTGCCGATGTTGTCGCTGCTGCCGATGTTGTCGTCTCTGCTGATGTTGTCGCTGCTGCCGATGTTGTCGTCTCTGCTTCTTGTTGAATCGTTGCTAACGCTCTTGTTCGTTCTGCTTCAGGGATAGTGTGGGAGTACCAGAAACCTCCCGGGCTGAAGTCGGGGTCGAGATCCGGAGGGTGTGTCCAATCAGCAAAGTTCACAATGGCGTCGCTGTCTGCAGTGCCGAGGTCGGGAGCGAAGTCGAGGACGAAGACGTTGTTCTTCAGCACTGCTTTCCCGATGTAGAGACCGCCTCTCCCGTGGTAAAGCTTGAACTCCTGGGTCGTGCTGTCGGCTTCCAGATGAATTCCTTTCGCCATCAACTGGCTAACGCTCAGTAAGTTGTAGCCGAGTCCTTCAGCGATGAGTACCTTAGACATGTGCAGTATGACATTTGTTTCTCTTGACTAAAGCTGTACCACTCCTTGTCTTCGTGTGCGAAGGTTTTGGTTGTTGGCAACCGTGATGATCACTTCCCGTTGGAGTCGATGTTCGCGTTGTACGAAACGCCCGGACGAGCACATGTGTTGCCCGCAGCAACTGTCCAAGAACCAGGTGTCTTGGCCGGACGGTTCACTTTGAGCGATAGCGGCGTAAGTCGGATTTGGATGGAGTGATTCGCGACGAGGCGTCCTGTTGTCGAGCTCCTCTTCCGGTGAGTAATGGGGTGGTGATTCTGTTATGCAAGAGTCGTTTATCTTGACCATGCAGTTGACTATATGTCTTGCTCCTTGTGCAGGTTGTCCAGTTGAGGTCGTTGAAGCTTGAATCGTGGTTGTCGAGCTTGCTTGTGTCGAAGCAACTTGGGTGCTTGAAGGCCGCAGTTGTCGCTGTGGTGTTGTCTGTCGAGACGGGCAGTGCGTGCGTGGGTGTCCTGATGTCTTGCAGATGTGACAAAATGGAGGTACTAGCTTCGGCTGCTGCTGTCGATTGTTGTAGTTGTTGTGTCGTCGCTGAGTATGGAAAGCAAACTCCGGTGCTAATGTCCTTTTCTTGCGTCTTTCCTCTTGCAGGTCCATATCCTGCTGCTCGGCGTGAATTTCTGCGCAAAGTGCCGCTTCGGAGATCCTCCCGTGTGCTCGAAGAATTGCTTTGGTGGCGCGCCACTGAGGACCAAGGCCACCGATGACGACTGTTACGAAGGCGTCTTCAGAGATTGACCCTCCACATCGAAGGAGCTTGTCGCGCAATTCGCGACATCGGCTGATATACGCCAACCCTTTTTCTCCTGGTTTCATTTCAACTGTTGTCAGCTGCGCCATTAACCTGCTCTGGTTTACACTGTCTGTTGCCTGGTAGAGGTTCTTCAGATGGCCGTACGCGAGTTCCGCCGAGTTGCCGAAGTTCCGGTAAGAGCGAATGTTCTGCTGCTGGGTTGGTGTGATGTTTCTCAGTAGAATAGTATACGCCATCATGGATTGATACGTATACTGCTGCTTTTCATACTGTGTCCCGTTTGCTGGATACTGCAGGGATCCGTCGAAGAAGCCGAGTATCTGCGCGCCCTCCATCATCAACTCGAATTCAAAGGACCAGGTAAAGAAGTCCTTTCCGTCGAAAGGTCTTGACGTCTGTAGTTTCAGAACATGCGCGAACTGCGACTGTACTTGTAAGGCATCCATTGGTTTGTCTTGCGCAGGTGGAGGTTGAGGCAGGAAGCTGATCGACCCGCGTTCGTACGGGGCGAAGGTGGGTTGCTGCTGTTGATTCCCTCGCGCGTATGACGACCCGTCAAGGCTCATGGGTGCCGCTCCGTTGTTGCTGTTGTGTGTCTGTGCAGATCTCGACTGCTGGTGTTGCTCGTAGAAGGACATGAAGGAGAAGAATTTCTCCATCATGTTCTGGTCGAAGTCAGAAGGATGGTTCGTAGGAGTCTCGGTTGAAGTTCCCCTTGGTCTTGCTGCCGTGCCTTCCTCTGTCTGCAGGCCAGAGGCTGGTGGTGGAGTAGGAATAGTGCCCGAGGAGTCATTAGGAGAGCTCCTTTCCTTGTTTGTTGCCATGTCTTGAAATGATTTTGAAAAGAGTTAGAGTTTTCCCCTGTCCGCTCTCATACCATGTTGGGCTGAAAAATAGCCCTTAGGATCTTTGCAGAGGAGAACTCTTGGGTAGAAACTTGTAATAGCGGAAGCGTTTTAATGAGGATTGTGAACCGACCTTGCACTGGTGTGTGAGAGCAAAGTAGATTAAATTAAACAAGCAAATACAAGGATTTATATAAGAGTACAGGGAATACGAATAGATAGATAGATAACTGTATTGCTGTTGCGGTTCGATATAGTGCGACTCGGGCAACTGCTCTGTAACGAGTCAGTTGTGTGTCCTTAACTGTCGCGCTGTAATTGTCGAGTCAAAGGTCAGCGACCTTTGACTTTCTCGTAACCTCCAGGCGGTTACCCTAACCTCCGAGGTTGACTCAATGCTTCGATTGGGACTGCTTCGCTTGGTGCCTTGGATTTTGATACGACAGAAGCGCACTTAGGACTTATTGTTTCCAACAGCTTTCAGCCCAATGCATGTGTCAGTAGAATCTGCACTGTGGATGCCCGATTGATCTTGGAGAGGGTTACAGGCGCGTTCGCCTAGGGGGTTATGGGCGCACTGACCCGCTATTGAAACAAGCCCTTATATCCCAATGGTCTAGTAGTTGAGATTCTGACATGGTATCAGAGCGGTTTCGGGTTCGATTCCCGGTGTATGCACATGTATGTCGTTGCCGCTGTGCTTAGTCCTGGGCCTCCCAGTGTGGGGGGGTGTTAGTAGATCTGCACTGTGGATGCCCGATTGATCCTGGAGAGGGTTACAGGCGCGTTCGCCTGGGGGGTTATGGGCGCACTGACCCGCTACTGAAACAAGCCCTTAGGGCGTATCCAACTTCGGGTCATCAGCACTGTTCCGTTTGCGGATGCCCCGAACTACACAAAACACCACTTTGGGTCATCTAACATCGTGCGACCCTCAAAAAGGCGCGTTTGTTGTCCCGCCAAAAAAGGCATCGCCAAATGTTGCTTCAACCAATAGGCTTTCCCGCCTTCAAGCCATGCGATCCCTTTCACCCGGTTGCGCGACAAACACCCCATCACCCCACCCGTCTAAATTCCCGGCGGTAAATAGAACATTTGGATCTGCGCGCCTCCGAAACCCATCCCAACCACACAGCCTCACCAAAGGGTTCCACAAAACGGCAGAAACAAAAATCAAGGATGAAGTAGATCTAGATCTCGACTTGAGAATAGCCTGCACACCACCCCGTTATCTTCGTGTGTGAGCCACTCCATAGAACCAGGATGCCTCCGCGACGAAGCTTACGCGGCAAGGGAAAGGAGAAGGTTAGCGATGATGAGAAAACACCTGACCCCCCCTACGTCGCATGGATGAAAGAGCAGCAAAAGCAGGGGAAGCCATCCCCATCTATCAAGCGTATGGCTAAGGCCGTACGCGAAACTGCGGGCGCCAGCAGTAGCCGAAGTTCTCGGCATGACTATCCCGACACAGGCGCCGATACTGACGTCTCTGATGACGATCTCGAGGAGATCGTCTCGGAGTCGGATAGCGATGCCGACTCAGCCGATTTCAAACTCGGCAGTGAAGAGGACGAGGAAGATACTGATGGAGGCGACGACAGAAGCGGTGATGAGCGCAGCACACGACCGTCGAAGAAGGAGCATCGGGCTCCTGCGTCTCGCAACAAGCGCGTGTGGTCGGACGCCGAGTTGACGTCCCTGGCGGCCGCTCGTTGGAACACTAAAGACGACCTGAAGGCTATGCAGGGCAAGCAGGGGAGCCAGTACTGGAGGAAGCTCCGCGCCCACATGGCTGAAAAGGACAAAAATTGGGACCGCGATGAGGGACAGATGTCCAACGCATGGAAACGCCTCGAAAAGAAGTACCTGAAAACGAAGCGGGGGGAGGGACAGAGCGGAGGGAAAGCAATAAAGAAAAAACCGTGGTGGGAATACGTCTACCACCTTAAAAAGCACTCGGCGAAGGCCAAGGCGCACGCCCTCGACGGTGGAGGCGCGGCGAACGTTGACGTCCAAGCGTACGCCCCGGTGCCCGGCTGCACCGACCGGGAAACTTCTGCGCCTCCATCGGAGGGCCGTGGGCGCGCTAAACGCCGTCAGGTGACCACACCAGGTGTGTACTCCCCATTCGTAAGATTGAGCATGAAGTGCTTTGCTTCAGGTTCAGCGTTGTGTTTGCCACTGATATCTCCGTTCCAGCGATTGTGGTTCAACGTTAGACGTATCGACCGTCAAATATCAACGTGATCATGAACTGGAGGTAGATGAATCAAATATCCATAAACTTAACGAACACCTGAAAACCGTTTCCGCCTTATTGACATCCACCCCCCTACACCCTTCACTACAGATGCCGGGGTGACTCCACCCCCTAAACGACGGCGGATTGAAGAGACTGCCACCATGGCGGCCGCAAAGATGGTGAGCGAGGCCATCAACTCCACCAATGCGACGGTGGTGCGACAGTTGCAAGACTCCACCCAACTCCTTGTCGCCGCCATGAACATGGCGGCGCTCCAGGCTGGCTTTCGAATGCAGATAGCCAGCCCGCCAGCGCCTATCGCGGCACCTTCGAATACCCCGACTCCAGCCCATCCGGAAGTTGCGGGCGACGAGAACATGGGAGTGTCCGAGGATGTCGAGGAGCATGCGGAGCCTTAGCGCGCCGACGTCCGCACACGGTGACGCCTGAGGTAAGCGCGATGGATGTGTTTGCCGAAGTGATGCCTGCGCGCGCGTAGATCGGCCAACGAAGGGTTGTCAAGGCTCTGCCACTCGTACTTGTCCATGCCGCTTCTTGTCCACCAGCCGTTAGGGAGCCCGGCCCAGATAAAGCGGCGCTGACTGTGCGTTTTCATGCGCGGCGTGCTAACGACCTGCAACATGTTGTGCAGGATGATGATGCAGGCCGTCCCAGCGCATACACGCCATAGTTTGCTCTCGTTCCTACGCGCGAAGAGCCGCCAGCGTCCCTTCAACGCGCCGATGGTGGGCTCGACGACCATGCGGGTAGCAGACTGCACGTAGTTGTATGTCTGCTCCCATTTCTTCATCAGGCGACGGCGTGGGGCGTGAAGGGGGGTGAGCATGTAAGGCTTCAGCGGGTATGCCGCATCTCCTACTAGCTGATAGGGGGCGATTTCCCCACTCTCTAGCCTGCCATGCAAATCAGATGTTGAGAAAACACCTTGATCATGCATTGAACCAGGATTGCCCACGTTGTAATCCCAGATGAACCCCTTTGAGTCGCATGTCACTTGAAGTTGGACACTGTAAACCTGCTTCCGGTTGTAGTAGTCACCACGGTGAGCCTCCATGCCACGTAGCTCGATGTGGGTCCCGTCAATCGCCCCAATCACGTTGGGAACTCCCTTGATAGCACGGAAGTCGCGCGCCATCTCCTCCCTCACATCCTCCGTAGGAAACTGCACCCAGTCACGCTTGAACTTGCAGGGAAACCATACCAAGAAGGCATCGACGATACGGTGGATGAGTCCTGGCGGCAATCCAAACAAGAGGCCCAAATCGCGGAACGTCATGGCGCTAGCAAAATACTTGATGGGTATAAGACAGCACAGTGACAAGGGAACCTCATTCACTTCCACGAAACGCGACATGGGGTAGGCCATTCGCTCGGCAATGAGGTCTAGGACTTCGCGGGTAATACGGAAGGTATCTTCAAACTCGTCGTCGAACATCGCGCGGATCTCCTCCACCCATTCCGCCACGCGAGCCTCGCGACGCCGGCTACGCTTCTCCCGGTGCTCAGTTGCACGGCGGAGGCGTTCGACATCTTCAGCCTCAGCCATGGGTAGGATGGTGGTTATCCACTCTAGAGCCGCAAGAGAGACTACACGCTGCCAGGTATTAAGAAGCACCTCATGCCACAGGAGCAGGGCCACACAAAGTATGAGAACCTGACCTGTGAGCATGGGTTAAGGACTCCCAGGAGGCGTAAAGTGGTAGCTCATCCTATCAACGGGAGCTGGTTCACGACCATTCATAATGCGGGGCGTGTTGGGAGTGGCGCTGGTTGCAAGGCGGCTAGCTATGGTCAAGATTGTGCTTGTAGATATGGCTGTCGGGCCGTATTTTCAACTAGCTCTGCACATTTGGCTTGTATCTGTGTTCATGGTCAAGTGGCTTTTATGGAATTGTGCTGTACGCAGTGATGGTGTTGGTGAAATTGACGGGCGTGAATGATGAAGGACGTCCGTCAAAAGAGGGGGACCCAACATGGGGTCGCACTTGTGTGTGATTGGTGGGAGACACATTGGGCGTGACGGTCGCATGCAGGTTGCAGGATGACCCGAAGTTCGAGCCGCGCGCGGTTCCGGTGTTGAGTTTGGGGCATCCGTGATTTGCGGATGCCCCAAACAGTTGAATGAACAGTGCTGATGACCCGAAGTTGGATACGCCCTTATATCCCAATGGTCTAGTGATTGGGATTCTGACAGCATGTACATGTGGCGAGCACCATGTAATATTGCAGCACGGTGGGTGGCTGTGATTGACAGACTGTCGCGACGTGTTGCACAGTACTGCTGCCGTTGGGGCACGCATTGGGTCGTGACTGTGGGCAAAGATAATTTCTTCACACTTCGTGCCATCAGCGCGCATCGTATATTTTATTTCCGGCAGATTCTTTTCGCGATTCCCTCTGCAACGCACTATTGTGTTACATGACGAACAGTACATAACGACAACATACCCATGCCCAGCTGGTAAAAAGTCGATCTATCTGACATGCTGCTGAAAAACGGGCAGGGATGCCTTGCTGTACAAAATTTCAAGAATCGAAACAGTTACCGACCGTGACTGCCAACACGGGACCATGCAAACACGTCGCCGCGCGACGCAGCGCCACGACGGTGTGTTTCCGCAACGAAATGAATGGACCAATCAGCGAGAATGATATCGGCGAGCTGGCACAAAGTTGGAACTTGCGTGGCAATGCTGGCCGAAAATAATCGGCCATTAACCAACCATAAACTGTTGCATCTATCGTCAGTCGAAAACGCAAAAGTATGTCTGACGTTCAAGCCACAGCGTGTGGCGGGAAACGACTGCTGGCACTGGACGACACCACTGTTCTGGTTAGACTCTGCCGAAACGGTGCATTGCTGGACGACTCGGCGACCGATAGCGACGCTGGCGATCATGCCACGAAACTCCATGAGCTCGTCGCGTGGATGGAACTCATGAAGGCACAGTGCATCCTGCCTGCTGAGTTGTTGCGTAAGAAACAAAAGAAGGGCAACATGGCAGAGGCGAGTAACAACCCTAGAACTGCAACTCTTACCTCTGCTCAGCCAGTCACTTCGGCCACTCTTCCCCCGACATTTTAACCACGCCGCTTAATCTGACTGGGCCCTTAGAAAACGCAGCGGAAGGCGCCACGGAGGCCGTTGACCATTCTAACGCTCACGGTGTGAAAATATTAGGTGTGGGGCCTAGGCTTAGTAGCCTAGGCCCACACTAGGAGATAGGTAAGTTCGAGTGGGTTAGGTGAGAGTCGAGAAATTGGAAGGGAAGTGAAGTGACTAGCAAGAGTTGGGATACAAGTACATTGCCCTAAATTGGGTTGTACTCATTACAGAGTACCCCACTGCAGGCTAGACAGCAAATATATTCTGACACACCCCCATAGCCAAAGTGGGGTGAAATCAGCAGAGCAGGCAAAGCAGTACAAGCTTAGGGTGGATCACAATGTCACCACACATTCTGAGCACAAGTTCAAGAAGCAATAGTTAAAGTGCACAATTATCAGCAAAGCTAGTGGTGGTCACAACGGGCAGGTGAGGAGGAGGAGGGAGAGTGAGAGGAGAGGAGATGGGAGGCGACTGCTGAAGCTGCAGACACACGGGCAACAGGAGCGGCTCGCACAGTGGCTACCGGGACAGCGCCCCGGACTACTGGAGTAACTGGCTCGGCGGCTACGAAGAGCGGCAGGAGCAACGGACCCACGGGCGACAGGCGCAGCAGGCTCACTGGGCTACCAGGACAGCGCCCCGGACTACAGGTGCTGCGGACTACAAGACGGCAGCCTCCGCTCAACCTCCCACAAACAGTCCCACCCCCCTGACACACACCCGCTGCTACACCCCTAGCTCCACTCCCACGCACCCCCCTTAAACCCTAAACCCCAGTCTCCCACACAACCACCCCCCTCAGCGACAGCTGCAGCAGTGGGAGACGACGGAGGAGGAGAAGGAAGGGGCGACACAAACGGAGCACCCCCACACCCGCAAACGGGGGGGGGGGGGGGGGGGGGACAGTGCGCACGAGGGCGCAGACAGTAGCAGAGCGCACGGGGGCGCGAGCACGAGACACGGGCAGCAACACGCACGGGCAGCACAGGCACGGGCAGCACAGGCACGGGCAGCACAGGCACGGGCAGCAACAGGCACAGGCAGCACAGGCACGGGCAGCACAGGCACGGACAGCACAGGCACGGGCAGCACAGGCACGGGCAGCACAGGCACGGGCAGCAACAGGCACGGGCAGCACGGGCACGGGCAGCACAGGCACGGGCAGCACAGGCACGGGCAGCACAGGCACGGGCAGCAACAGGCACGGGCAGCACAGGCACGGGCAGCAACAGGCACGGGCAGCACAGGCACGGGCAGCACAGGCACGGGCAGCAACAGGCACAGGCAGCACAGGCACGGGCAGCACAGGCACGGGCAGCAGAGACACGGGCAGCACAGGCACGGGCAGCAACAGGCACGGGCAGCACAGGCACGGGCAGCACAGGCACGGGCAGCACAGGCACGGGCAGCAACAGGCACGGGCAGCACAGGCACGGGCAGCACAGGCACGGGCAGCACAGGCACGAGCAGCACAGGCACGGGCAGCAACAGGCACAGGCAGCACAGGCACGGGCAGCACAGGCACGGACAGCACAGGCACGGGCAGCAACAGGCACGGGCAGCACAGGCACGGGCAGCACGGGCACGGGCAGCACAGGCACGGGCAGCACAGGCACGGGCAGCACAGGCACGGGCAGCAACAGGCACGGGCAGCACAGGCACGGGCAGCACAGGCACGGGCAGCACAGGCACGGGCAGCACAGGCACGGGCAGCACAGGCACGGGCAGCAATAGGCGCGGGCAGCAACAGGCACAGGCAGCAGGCACGGGCAGCACAGGCACGGGCAGCACAGGCACGGGCAGCACAGGCACGGGCAGCACAGGCACGGGCAGCAACAGGCACGGGCAGCAACAGGCACGGGCAGCACAGGCACGGGCAGCACAGGCACGGGCAGCACAGGCACGGGCAGCAACAGGCACGGGCAGCACAGGCACGGGCAGCACAGGCACGGGCAGCACAGGCACGGGCAGCACAGGCACGGGCAGCAACAGGCACGGGCAGCACAGGCACGCGCAGCACAGGCACGGGCAGCAACAGGCACGGGCAGCACAAGGCGTACCGGGTCCAGGGGCGGCTTCTGGGGTCCAGGGGCGGCACCTGCAGCTGGGCGGCGGTAGCTGCTGCGGCAGAGCGGCGGCGGCTGCTGCTGCTGATAGAGCGGCGGCTGCTGCTGCTGGGTCGGTGGCGGCAGCTGCTGCAGGTCTTGCGGCGGCTGCTGCTGCAGACTCTGGCGGCGGCTGCTGCTGTAGACTCTGGCGGCGGCTGCTGCTGCAGGCTCTGGCGGCGGCTGCTGCTGCAGGCTCTGGCGGCGGCTGCTGCTGCAGACCCTGGCGGCGGCTGCTGCTGAAGACCCTGGCGGCGGCTGCTGCAGCAGGCTCTGGCGGCGGCTGCTGCTGCAGACCCTGGCGGCGGCTGCTGCTGTAGGCCTGGCGGCGGCTGCTGCTGCAGGGCGGCGGCGGCTGCTGCTGCAGGAACTGACGGCGCCCCGCGGGTCCCGCATGGGGCGTCGCGACGAGCAGGGGCGACGCCCCGCGGGTCCCGCACGGACGTCGCGACGAGCAGGGGCGACGCCCCGCGGGTCCCGCACGGACGTCGCGACAAGTAGGGCGGCGCCGCGCGGGTCCCGCACGGACGTCGCGACGAGCAGGGGCGACGCCCCGCGGGTCCCGCACGGACGTCGCGACGAGCAGGGTGACGCCGCGCGGGTCCCGCACGGGCGTCGCGACGAGCAGCGGGGAGGGCAGCGCGCAGGCCCCCCGAGGGCGCTTCGAAGGACGGGAAAACCGCCGCGCGCCCCGAGCGCACGGCGGGATGAAAAACTCCGAAATCCTAAAAAAAAATTCGCAGGAAGAAGGACTGCAGCGGAAGCATAGGGGCCCACAGGCCAAGGTAGAACGGGCTCTGATAACTTAGGTATCGAGCGGGTTTTTACCTAGGCAAGGTGTCGAGTGAGTTGAGAAGGGAAATTGGAGAATGAAGATGGTTTCACTATAGGTTCAAGGGTACATATAGCATAGAAACCAAATAAGGTGCACCACCACCAACAGTTTACATAACTACACTAACTACAACTACAAGCAGTTATAAAACATGACAAAATATTTCGACACGCCCCCATAATGCTTGTAGGTAGATGTGTAGTTACAGCATAGCAAGCAACAGCAGGTACCCTTTCCGTCTCCTCACCCTCCTCCTTCCCCTCCCCCACACTGCTGCAGGAGCAGCAGAGAAGGGGGGGAAGAGAGGAGAGGTGGAGGGACGGCTGCATGTTGCCTCACACCCGCCACCCCGTTACCACTCCCCCTGCTCCCCCACATCCTCACACCCTCCCCCCCCAGCGGCAGCTGCAGCGGTGGGACTGGAAGAAGGAGGAGGGGAAGGGAGAGAGGTGACGCCACACTCCAACACCCTCCACCCCCATATCCTCCTCCCCACGGATGCAGGGAGACAAAGGAGGAGGGGATGGGAAGGAAGAAAGCCGCAGAGCGGCGAAAAGGCGTCGGTGCAGATGGGTCAGGGGCGGCTCCAGGGAGTGCAGGGGCGGAAAGGCCCGTCGCGGGCCAGTGCCACGGGGCGCACGACGGGTAGAAGAAGAAAACAGGCCCGATCGTGCGCCTAGGGGCGCACGACGAGCAGGGCACCATCGTGTGCCACGGGGCGCACGATGGGCAGATGAAGGGCACCGTCGCGTGCCACAGGGCGCGCGACGGGCAGAGAAGGAGCCACACACCCGTGGGCGGGACTAATTAAAAATCGTCACGCGCCCTAGGCGCGCGACCGAAAACTCATCGCGGAAGCGTAAGGCGGGCACACAGGCCAAGTCGTAAAAATGCTCCGATTCCATGTGAAAATATTAGGTGTGGGGCCTAGGCTTAGTAGCCTAGGCCCACACTAGGAGATAGGTAAGTTCGAGTGGGTTAGGTGAGAGTCGAGAAATTGGAAGGGAAGTGAAGTGACTAGCAAGAGTTGGGATACAAGTACATTGCCCTAAATTGGGTTGTACTCATTACAGAGTACCCCACTGCAGGCTAGACAGCAAATATATTCTGACACACGGCCTCCCCGTTGTTTCTCGAGCACGCTCTGGTATGAACCACGCAGTCATTTTTTTACCTGATTTTATTAATCACTCATCATTGCGATTTTTAAATGTTGCTCGCTATGCCTTTGACGATGGTTGTTGTATGTATTGTTAGTATTGTTTCTCGCCTAAGCCCCAATGTCGCACCCGTCTCGTTCGCCTGGCTTTTCTTTTTTCACAAACAGAACTTCCGTCGATGCGTACACAAGCAGAGCTTCGTCTTCGTGCCAAGAATGAAGACCTAGCTCCTCAAGCTTACACAGGAGTGCGCACTTGACCTCCAAATCCTGCTTGACGATAAGGAGGCAGCTCACGCAGCGCTCAATCTGCGCAACGAAGAGCTGTCCCCTCTGGTCGTTGCTCTTCGGCAGCAAATTATCAACAACGGCGAGGAGTAGAGGTAGACACTTAACTTGGCCCTCATCCCGAGTTTCCACTTGCTACTGCTACCAAGTGACCCAAATGGCAACATCCTGCTTCCTACAACACTGGAACAAGATCATTTGTTCTCCGTAAGTGTATTCACTGTTTTGTTTGCAATTAAATGTTATATCCCGCAAACTATAATTGTATTCGTTTGCCCTTTTGATACAAACTGTATTTGTATTTGTCTTCATTTGCGCTAATCATTGTTCCTCTGAATCCCCTGTGAAATTGAACGAGAATGAATGAACTATGAAACAGTTGGGTACAAGTACTAACCCTAATTGGGTTGTACCCCTTATGGGCTACCCCACTATAGCCTACACAAAAGTATAAGCTATAATGTTCTGACACACCCCCATAGGCAAAGTGGGGGAGAACAAGGGGTCACAAGACGAGTCAAGCAAAGCAAAGCAAAGCAAGCTCCGGGTGGATCACAAAGTCACCACACATTCCGAGCACAAGTTCAAGGCCAAAAGGCCAGTTCACATGCAGGAATACATATATATAAAAGGCTAGACAAGCAAGAGCAGGTGTTTATATATATATGTAACAGTACAAGCAAGGTCAAGAGGTGAGCAAGTGAGGCAAGGCAGGCACAAGACCCAGCTGAGTACAAAAGCGCTGATGATCACAAGGCGCAAGTGCCTTGGCGAAGATATCAGCAGTGTTGGCCTCAGAGGCCACGTACGCAAGACGCAGCTGACCACGTTGCTGTAGCTCACGAGAAAGAAAGTAGCGAAGAGCAATGTTCTTCGTTCTGTGCTCCAGTCTCTGCTCCCGACACAAGGCCAGCATGGCCTTGTTGTCTACGTACAGCACTGGAGGAGAACGAGGCAGCTCTCCGAGGTCATTCAGCAGGTAGGTGAGCCAACGAAGCTCCTATGCAGCCATGGCCCCGGCGTAGATCTCAGCCTCACAACTAGAGCTGAGAACAGAAGACGAGCGAGTAGCCTGCCACGAAACAGAGCCGGAACCAAGGCTGAAGGTGTAACCCTGTGACGACCGCTGCGTAGCCTGGTCGTCAACCCAAGAAGCGTCTGCGTGCCCAGTGAGGACCACTGGACTCTGCCCTCCAAGCATTAGCCCCATGCCCGACGTACTGCACAAGTAGCGCAACACCCTCTTCGCTGCAGCCATGTGCTACGGTCTGTGTCTCCCAGGAGCAACATAGCGTGCGAGAATGCTAAGAGGGTATGCAAGGTCAGGTCGTGTGCAGGTCATCAGGTACATGACGCAGCCAACAAGCTCTGGGTACGGGCCACTCGACTCTACGGACTCATCCGAAGGCAGAGTTGAGAGCGAGTGGCGAGTAGGCAAAGGAGTGGCCTGAGGCAAGGAGTACGTGAAGCCGAAGCGCTGAAGGACCTGCTGCACCATGTGTGACTGAGTCAGGGTAATGGTGCGGCGTGCTCTGTCCCGGGTGATCTGCAAGCAAAGGTAGCTGCGCAGTTCACCCAAGTCTGTGCACGTGTGTCTCTTCTGTAGCTCGGACTTCACGTGGGCGAGTCTAGCCGTGTCAGCTGTGGCAAAGACCAAGTCGTTGACGTACACGAGGATGTAGAACGGCGGAAAAGAAGTGTCGGTGCGTAGAAACAGCGACGGGTCGTCAGTAGAGGGAGCAAACCCAAGAGCCGCAAGTGTAGTCCTCAGTGTGTCGTGCCACTCACGGGGTGCCTCGCGGAGACCGTAGACTGGCCGCCGGAGGCTCCACTGGGTGCTAGGAGGAAAAGACCCAGTGAAACCAGGTGGGCAACGCAGCCAGATCTCCTCGTGCAGGCTGCCCTACAAGAAAGCAGTGCTGAAGTCAAGAGAGTGCAGCTCGTAGTCACGGTGAGCAGCTATGTGCAGCAGTACCCGAAGAGTGGTCATCTTCGGGGTGGGAGAGAAGGTCTGAAAGTAGTCAACTCCCTGCCGCTGACTGAAGCCACGAGCCACGTAACGCGCCTTGAAGACAGGCGGAGAACCCGGCGGCCGCTTCACCCTCAAAATCCACATGCCACTAACGATGTTCGCCCAAGGCGGAGGAACCTCGTCAACGTAGGTACCTGTGGACTTCCAGGAAGCCATCTCTGTGTCCATAGCTGCCTGCCACTGAGAAGAGTAGGGACTCTCTATCGCCTCCGCGTAAGAGCGCGGTGTCGGGATTTCAAGTGCATCCGGGTCTCCCTCAGGGGTAAGCAGTACGGACACGAGATGAGGTGAAGCAGCAGCCAAACACTGGAACTCCTCCTGCCTGTCCTCAAGGACGTCTGTGCCAAGGGCACACTCACCCCCGACGGACGGAGGACAGACAGACTCAGACTCAGCGACAAGACTAGCAACGTAGTCTAGACGACAGCGAGCAGCGAAGTCGACGAGCTCAGCAACTAGGGCAAATGCAGCAGTGGACTCAAAGGAAGGGTGAGTGACAACAATAGCAAGGAGACGCGTGACAGTGGGACTGGCAGCACGAATAGAGTCCGACTCCGGGTCGGCAAGAGCAAGAAGCGAGGACTCAGGAGGAGAAGGCAAAGGGGCACGCAGAGGAGCAGTGGACGGACGCTGAGACATCCGGTGCGTGCCAGGGACAAGAGGAGGACGCTGAAGCGAACCGCGACCACTAGTGCGAGCAGTACGAACAGGCGACGCAGGGCGAGACGCAGGCTCACGACGCTCAGCAAGACCTCCAGTAGGACCAGTGTAGGGAGAAGGAGCACGCAGTGGGGAGGCCGGTTGTGACTGTAACTGCGACGGGACAGGCTGTGGACACTCTAAGGGAGGAGGAGGACCAGTAGAAGGCGGGAGACCAAGCACCTGCTGAAGGAGCGGAACGAAGTACAACCGAGGCCGCGTGGCGACTCCAAACATAGCATGGAAAGCACCAGTACCCCCACCGGCGGCACCAGTGCCAGCAGCACCTCCAGCTCCAGTACCTCCAGCACCACCAGTAGCACCCCCAGCAGGACCTCCTCCAGGACCGACAGCAGTAGCCTCAGCGCCAACACCCTCAGCAG